TTCTTCTTTTTTTGAGATGGAGTTTCGCTCTCTCTCCCAGGCTGGAGTGAAGTGGCCCAATCTCAACTCACTGTGACCTCCACCCCGCAGATTCCAGCTACTCTCCTTCCTCAGCCTCCTGAGTAGCTGGGATTACACCACACCCAGGTAATTTTTGTATTTTTAGTAGTTTTGGGGTTTCACCATGTTGGCCAGGTTAGTCTCAAACTCCTGACCGCAGGTGATCCACCCGCCTCGGCATCCCACTGCGCCTGGCAGAATCTTCTGTTTTTAAGTGTGAATGTTGAATGTGGCAAAACAACACAATGATCTGTGAATTTGAAATTTGGAATAATATTTATATTACATCTTGATAAAACAATTTGGAGAAATTCCACTTTTTTTTTTTTTTGAGATGGAGTCTCGTTCTGTCACCCAGGCTCGAGTGCACTGGCACGATATCAGCTCACTGCCACCTCCACCTCCCAGGTGCAAGCGGTTCTCCTGCCTCAGCCTCCTGAGTACCTGGGATTACATGCGTGCATCACCATGCCCGGCTAATTTTGTATTTTCAGTAGAGACGGGGTTTCTCCATGTTGAGGCAGGTCTCGAACTCCTGACCTCAGGTGATCTGCTCTCCTGGGCCTCCCAAAGAGCTGGGATTATAGGCGTGAGCCACTGGACCTGGCCGGGAAAATAAAAATTTTAAAATTAAACATATGTGAACTTTATCTGGGTCATCAGCTGTGGGTGCCCAGGAGAAATTATTTTACATTCTTGGAACTTCAGGATTCACTATTAATAAAAATTACTATTTCCCCCAGGGCTGTTTTAATTCATACATGGTAGCTATAAGTATTTTTTACTGAAACTTTTGTCTAAATATATTATAGTAAATATTTAGAATAAAATTATTAATTTTTCAAATATTTTATTATAATTGAGTATATTTTGTCATATTTAATGTATTTATCCTGTTTTAAAAATGCCAAAATAAGAATTTTTTTGAATACCAGACTAAGAGTTTCTATATTGTGACTTTGCTAAGTTTTGCATATGATTTTGACTGCTACCATTGAACTTAGGTTGAATATTAAACTCACTTTCGTTTAGCTTGTGTGGTTTTTGGTTCATTTGGAAAACAAAATATATTAGACATGAACTGTTGGGGTAACTTGGCTTCATTTTTGCTCTCTTTCTGTTATTATATCTGGGGCTTTAGAAATCACTAAGATTCGGCCAGGCATGGTGGCTCACATCTGTAATCCTAGCACTTTGGGAGGCCGAGGCAGGCAGATCACCTGAGTTCGGGAGTTTGAGACCAGCCTGACCAACATGGAGAAACCCTGACTCTACTAAAAATACACAGTTAGCCAGGCGTGGTATCACATGCCTATAGTCCCAGCTATTCGGGAGGCTGAGGCAGGAGCATCACTTGAACCCGGGAGGCGGAGGTTGCGGTGGGCCAAGATCGCACCACTGCACTCCAGCCTGGGCAACAAGAGCGAAAATCCATCTCCAAAAAAAAAAAAAGAAATCACTAAGATTCAAATAAGGTTAGTTGGGAATCAAGCAACAGAAAATCCCAAAAATGACTCAGAAAAATAGCTACTGGATAGTGCCTTTCAGTGAGATTTATATGTGAAACAGGCCAATAACTTTTACAAATTTATTGCAAGTTCATTAAATGTAGAAAATAATTGCCTGCAACATATTAGGCACTTGTCTTAGTCTATGGCATCCCTAGCTTGGGGAAGCTGACATTACAGAAAAGAATATTGCTACTGTAATGAGATTTGGAATAAATACTTACGTGCTTTTAAACATTCTCTTTAATAATCCTTAGAGACATGTCATTCTGGCTCAATTCTTTTAGTATAACTGTCTACAATTCTAGAGACTCAGTCCCATCAAATTTAAGCCGTGGCATTTTCAGCTTTTTATGTTTATTTTTAGCTAGTGAGCTTAATAGTTGATATTATTCTATTGGGGTCCCCAAGGCAATCTGGGCCTTAGTGCCAACCATCCTACCTCATCCTTTTTGTTTCACATGCTCTGTTGTTGAATCCCTCTCACTCTATATTTGAGCCTTTATGAGGCTTCAGTTTGGAGGAACCAGAGGATTGGGTTTCTATATATAGTGAGTTGAGAATTAGAATCCTCTTAAGGATAGATTTTACATTTATTATTTACAGTACAAAGCAGTAT